TATTTCTATGTTGTTCTATGTTAAGTTACATGTTGTATGTGTGAATGGAAATGTTAAATGTATGTGTTAATTGTATGAATTAAATATTATAAGCTTACCCTTTCGTTTTTCCTTGTGTTGTCATACTGTCTATGTACGTTCTTCCTGTCTTGCAATGATCATCCATGTGGATGTGACCAGAAGGCGAGGCTACACTGGAGGACGTTATTGAGGAAGAGAACTTGGTTGAAGTGGAAGTGAAAGCGGAGCAGTAGGACGTCCGTCTTTCTTTTTGCTTAGAACGCTCATAGATGTTTAGTTTGTAAACGTTAGCTTATATTGACGTTTGGTTATTAATTTTGTAAAACCGTTCGTCCAAATTCCTTGTATATGCGCACTTAAGCCGTTCGTTTTAGACTCCCACTGTATACGTTTTATGAGCGTTGCTTTTGTATTGAAGCCGTTCGGCTCTGGAACTTCAATTATGAATAGAAAGACTGTATATTTTGCTGTTAATTGTAATTAATTCTGATTTATGGTAATTACTGTATTTTGGGATGTTACATGGTGTAAGAATTTAGAAATATTCACTTCATTCAAAAGTGTTGTCAGCCTTTTGTTAACTTATTATAAATATTTGGTTAAACCACTTCGGAAGTCCCTATTTATCTGAGTTTTTTTCAGTTGGATCTCCGTTTTATTAGAATCCCCAATTTAATCATAAAAGATGCTAATTTGAGTCAATTAGATCCCTGCTGTTAAATTGGTTTAACGGGGTTAAGTTTTTTATGAAGTGGGAGCTTGACGTGACAAGTTTTTTAAACATGGCATTCATAGAGCTCTACGTGGAATTTACAAACATTTTAACATTTTGATTAAAATATTTTAAACAAAGTCATCTTCCATTACAGTCAAGCACCACCTAAAACCATCATAGAGAACCCAATCGCGCCTCAAAACCACCATCATCTTCCTCGTGCACCATCAACCTGCAATCAAGTAACCACAAAATCAAAATCGTGACTCCGTCATGTTCGCTTTAATTCATCTCCTTCCATCCAGCATCGCGAGGGCAAATCGCCACCATGGCCAACGTAACCAGCGCTCAAGCTCTTCGCGCTGCAACCGAACTCATCATGATCTATTTTCTTCTCCATTAAACCATTTGAAACCTGTAAAGAGAAAACAAAATCACAAATTTGAAAACCCCCAAAATTAGCCACGAACCCTAAATCGCGCTGGACACAAAACGCGTCACCCACCGTGATTTAAAGCCGAAGAACCTGCTCCTTGATGAGAACGAAGACCTGAAAGTGTCAGACTTCGGCTTGTCTGCGCTACCTGACCAACGCAGATCTGACGGGATGCTCGTGACGCCGTGCGGCACGCCGGCCTATGTGGCACCGGAGGTTCTGAAAAAGAAGGGCAATGATGGGTCGAAGGCTGATATATGGTCGTGTGGGGTGATCCTCTTCGCGCTTCTTTCTGGGTATTTGCCCTTTCAGTGTGAGAATGTGATGAGGATTTACAGTAAGTCTTTCAAAGCTGATTATGCATTCCCGGAATGGATTTCACCCGAGGCGAGACGCTTGATCTCTAATTTGATGGTTGTAGACCCAGAGAAGAGGTATTACATTCCTGACATCATGAAGGATCCTTGGTTCCAAGTTGGGTTCGTGCGCCCCATTGCGTTTTCCATGAAGGAGACAGTTGTGGAGGATAACATCGACTTCAACGGGGACAATGTCGGTGGCAGTGGAAACGTCAGCAACAATGAAGATGGTAACATCAGCAACAACCATTCTGGAGAACTGGTCGGGTCCAAGCCGGCTCGTCCGTCTTACAATGCTTTCGAGATAATATCCTCGTTGTCACACGGGTTTGATCTGAGTAATTTGTTCGAGACGAGGAAGCGGTTGCCATCGATGTTCATATCGAAGCACTCAGCGTCGTCGGTGATGGCGAAGTTGGAGGCGGTTGCGAAGAACCTAAACTTTAGGGTGACAGGGAAGAAGCAGTTCACGGTAAGAATGCAGGGAGCGACGGAAGGGAGGAAGGGGAAGCTGGGGATGACAATGGAGGTGTTCGAGGTGCGCGACGGTGGTGGAGTTTTCGAAACCAATTTTTAAAATGTTTTTTTTATCAAATGCCACGTATAATGGTCTCTCAATGCCACATTTAAAAACTGTCCACGTCAATATCACAAGTCATCAAAAATTTAACCCCGTTAAACCAATTTAACTGCAAGGGCTCAATTGAGTCAATTTTTCATTATAAATGACTAAATTGGCGAAACCGATAAGAAGGAGATCTAACTGAGAAAAACCCACATAAATAGGAACTTCTCAAGGGGTTTAACCTAAATATTTTTTTGACTAAAACAACAATAATTTAAAAATCATTGTTATAGACCTATTTTAAGTGTCATTGATAAACAATATACATTAGTGTGATTTTGATCGCACACATATGACAACTTCACTAAGATAATATCTTTACTGAGTAATTTTACACACTAAAGTTTTAAGAGAGATAAAGAAGTTTTACTTTTGCTTTCTTTATTATTTGGATAACATATACTTATTATCTTTTAGATTTTAGTTACATAATTTTGACCAAACACATTGCATAGAGGATAAATCAAATATTTGGTTAGGTAAAAAAAAAAAAGCAAACATTGGAAATCCTACCTTTAATATTTTTTAATGTTTTTCTCTCTATTATAATTATTTAGATTACTAAAATTTCTTAGTTTAACCATATTTTATGAGATATGTAAACATTTTTGTAAAGTAGTAAAAATATTTTATTGTAAATTATAATATATATATATATATATATATATATATAAAGGTTTGGTGGGTTTCTCTGTTTTTTTTTTAGTTTTGAGAATGGAAATTATTCAACTACCCTTGACCTTAAAACATAGAATTCATAATATATGAGGTATTTTTATCTACTAAAACCCGGTACACTTTGCTAAAATGTACCAACTAAAAAAAACTTACTACGCATGTTAACAAACCCATATATATATATATATATATATATATATATATATA